AAGAGATATCCTTTCGTCCCATATACAGTTATTCTCCTTCCGAATTACTCCACGCCAGAGACGGTCGCTAGATTTGAGGGTGTGCAGCTTCGAATAGATGCCCCAAATAAACTGGGGTGTGCCCCCTTAAAAGATATGCGTCTTCAAGCCCAGACAGGGAAAATTAAAAAAGCGAGCCACTTGTTTTGAAAACAATGATTTATTGAAAACCAAAGCTGTATGTGTGTGTGTGTGTGTCCATATGTCTTTATGGACATATAGAATGATCACAGCACACAACTCTTCTTTACGGATCCCTTAAAACATGAGTAAAGGTTATGTTTCTCCTAACTTGCGTGCAGCTTTACGCATGCTTTAAGGTCTGCTTAAAGATAGGATGAAATAGAAGGTGTTCCAGCTGTTCAGAACAGCAGACACTGGCACGTTAAAGCCGCATCAACTTTGCTGACCTCTGCAGATGACATTGGGATGAGGTTGTAGTCCGCCATTTCTTTCTGGAACAACTGCAGGAAAATAATGTGGATTAGTGCTTATGTCGAGACACAGTAAAATATTCACTAGTTTTCGCGGTACAGATCAGATCAATCCGAGATCAGATCTCGATTCACGTTTTTTTTCTTTTCCACAGCTATTTTTAGGCCGACTGAGCTTGCGAAATCGCGATTAAGCAGACCCCTTTCGATGGGATCCAGACAGTATCCAGAGGAGTTTGCTCGGCTACCGTGGTGGCTAATGGACACTCCTCTGGCCAATGGATATTGCCTTGCCACCGACAGGGATCTGCTTGGAGATTAAATAAAGCCGGCTTGAAACTACATCCGGTGGTGGTTTGGGGATCGTTTCGGTTTCAATGTGACTTGGAGCGTTCAGACGGGGTCACATGAATCCTGCTTCGGTCGATTCGGGTTTCAATGCCTGGAGTAGCCTGGATGCCAGACCCAAAGCACACCGGACACAAAATATCTCAGTGTGCAAGGGTCTGGTAGGGTCTCTTAGGAAAGGCTCTCGAGCATAGGGAGGAGAAGCTGTGATTGATGACCCCTCACACAACAGGTAGGTGGCCTGTTACATGGTATCACCATTGGTCAGCAAGAGACAATCTTGGGCTCAACAGTTAATCATTAACCAGTCAATTTTCTAAATGTTTTTGGAGTTTTTTTTCCAAAATAACAGCAGAACTTAGTCTAATAGTAGAAGTAGTGTACAGCCCAGGCTTTGCTGTTTGTTTAGGTAACAGTCCTCTGACACACCAGGACAAAATAACCTTATCTACAGTTTAATCTCATCTGCTGGTGGCCACTGGTTAAAGATTCAAAGATACAGCTGGGAGTTTTTAACCAATCATAGCAGAGGTGTAACATTGCTTCCTGCTGTGCTGTTATTTTGTGTCCAGTGTGCTTTGGGTCTGGCATCCAGGCTATGCCTGGAGGGCCTCAAATATATCAATCTGTCAGTTATATTTCCCAGGGGCACAAGATCGGTGGCAGGGTAGGATTCGAACCTCTTGATTCTAGCTGCCGCTTCACCACACGACCGTACATGACAGAATTACGTGCTTATATATCTGAATCAGGTCATATATCATTATATACTTTTACACAAAAATGTTGAGAAATCATACCGCAAAAGTCTCAGGCATTTGCTCTTCTGGGACATGTATGATGCTGCCGTTGATATAAATGCAGTTGCTCCCAAAGGCGTCAGGTATCCACATCACTTTGTAGGTGTAGTTGGAGACGTCACAGATGTCCTGTGACATACAAGGTGATTTATATTAAAGGTCGTTTAAACTTAAAATTCCTGTTCCAACACAAAAGTTCTCACCAATTTTTGCCCATTCCGTCATATTTGTCAGACGAAAATCAAGACGTGTAAACTTTAAAGATATTGGGCAAAGCTTCTTTATCTACGATTTTCAGGAAATTAGGCAAATTTTCTAACGCTTTAGATAATTCCTAACGCCTGTCGGGGCCTGACGGAGGCGCCGTGGTTGCCCGCGTGAAAACTTCTCACCTGGAGCTTTCGACCAGTCACTCTGGTCTTCCTCAGTAGACTGACCCAGTGAAGCTTGTCACGTGCACATGGCTTCTCTGAAGTGTGACGTCAACACTTACTGAAGGTACTTTTAGACTCATGGAGGTTCAGGCATCGGCTTCTTTTTGGTGTGTTTTTAGCCGTTTTTATAGGGCTCCGACAAACGGATACTGCCTGGCCAAGTTTTGCAGCCACCGAAAAATCTGTTTGGATGGGTGGTTCGGCATTGTACTTATATGGTAGGAGATATGACGTCATTCTTGCTGAGCCAATCAGTGCGCAGTGTATCTATTATCCTAAGCATTAGTCCAAATGTGTGCAGTACTAACCTCCCACCCAGGGCGTCCCCATATGTTGTCACACATGGCGATTACTCCCGGTGCAGCTAAGGCCGCATAACCCTTCAGATGGATCTCGGGATACTCCACAAATATGGAGTGGCAGGGGTAGTCATCTCCAAATGTCTCCTCCAAAATGGCGAAGCCCTCCTCATTACTCTGCACCGAATCACCGCAGAAGATCTCCTTTCCTACAAAACAAAACAAGTAAAATCAGAGATTTTATACCTCCGGGCTTTTTAATGGATATTGTATACGTTGTTTGTTATGTATAGTTGATGGTGTTGAATTTTATGTGTTAGATTTAGCGAAAAATACCCTCTAAGCAACCCATACCTGACACATGCCAAAGGTCAACGGTCGTGACCACTTTCACGCTGAAAGGGGTGTTCTGAGGCCACCAAAATGCACCTTTTACGCTCGAAAACACATATACAATGAAAACAAAAGAACATGCATCATTTGCAGCCCAATAACAAAACATATACCGAGTCCTAAAAGAATTCGTTCTCCCAAACGCGAGAAACATAAAAATCTGAATCTCTCACAAAGCCCTTCCGCGGAAGGATGTTTCCTTCCCCGGATGCAAAAAGGGTGATCATATTCATGACCATTGATGTCAATATGTTGGACTTCAAAAGTCCTGAAAAATTCCCTCATATCCACACCAGCAACATTTTCGTGCTTGATCATCGATATTTCTGTACTGACCTGTAAAAATGACGTCGCCGCCTTCCAGAGTCGCTGTGTCACTTTCTACAACCCGAACCTTCAGTCCCAGATTCCTCATGGTTTCTTCCAGGACCGTGGTCTGAAGAATATAAAGCAGGGATACATGTATTTCTCCGCATTACAGCAAGGAGCTCGAGGCATCAGGAGTCAATAATTGCGCAATTATCTGAAACTGGAGCGAAAAATTTTTGATTGACAGAAAGGGGTCAAACAGGTGTGCAGAGACAAATATGGTCAACATAGAAAAACTGTCAAAAACCACCTACTTTAGTGTTTAAAAGTGAAGCACGCTCGCATTAGTTTTGGTGTTCCCAGAGGATGTCATTCATATAATCAAAATCAACATGGCCTTACTATGTAAAGAAATGAGTGGAAAACTTACTTTCTGTGTTGTCCTGAATTAATGGTCGGTGAGCAAGTAGGGCAAGATACATTAATGGAGACGCCAAAATGGCAGCGTTTGGCGCCTACACACCATGGTGTCTGTGTTGCCCTATTTTCCGATTCTAATTTCCTCAAAGCACTAGGTGCAGATATTGTAATTACTCATTAGACCATGTTGATTTGATTATATGGATGGCATCCGCGCTCGCATTCGCAATTTTCTGCCGTTTCCAAAAAAAAAAAGTTTTCAACTATACTGTAAATCGTACAGTGGCTGCAAAATAAGCAATTATATGCCGTAAATTGAAAAATATATATATATATATTGAAAAAAAACGATATCTATGTCACAGGATGCTAAAATCCATTACAACGGACAAGAAGAAAATGTAAAAATTGTACAATGAAGGCCTTCACCTATTAAAGGGACGTCACGAATGACATTTGACAGGCCCGGAGGCTCGTAGGGCTGGCACCTGTATGGGCCTTGCAAGGGGCCTACCCCCATGTCCCGTGAGTTTCTTAACTCATAAAAAGGGACTGACGTCTTGTATGTTTGATAAAACAACTGTCTTCGCATCATAATGTCACTACCCAGATTTTGTAGTGCAAGTGAAATGTTTGTATACAATAGGATTGACACATTTGATGCTACATGGCGTAAACAATGTTACTCATTTATATCCCGTCTTTATAAGTCATGAAACAACATTATCCAATCTGTTCTTAAATCTGAAGTGATATTCTGAGACTCTTTCGCAATAACTGGGCCCGTCTGTACATATAGTCATATTATTCTTTTACTGATGTAATTGTGTGTGTATTTTATATGTATGTTGTATATGGGCGAGTTATGCCTAAAATAAAGAAATAAAGAAAGAAAACTTAATAAAGATGACTTTAACTCTCTAACTCACCTCCCCCTGCCTCGGTCCACATGCAGGCCTGGTGATGAGTGCTGTGTCTCCGATCACGATGCAGGGGTCTTCTACAAACTGGCAGTCGGGAAGTTTTGGGTCTTGCGGAATCACCGTAACGTCCAGACCCAAGTCTCGGAGGGCCTGGACGTACAGCCCCCACTCCGCCCGGCACTTCTCGATATTCACGGTCTTCGTAGACTGCGGGATTCGAACAGCGTTGTTTACGTCGTCCGACACCTCCCGGACCACTGCCCGCTTGAACTCAGGAAAATTCCAGAAGTTCGCCATTTCGCTCACTTTACCGGGTGCTACTGTATGTGTCCTCTAGCTTTTTGGCTGTAAGCGTTTCTAATATAAAGAGCTAGTGTTTACTGAAGACTCTAAAGTTGTAAAACTAGTTTGATAAAGACGATGGATGTTTTTGGGGCCGCAGAACACAGTACCCCCGGGGGTCTATGACGCGGGTATAGAAAGTAGTGCAGACAAACCTATTGCATCCTGGCTAGAGCGACTTATGTAAAAGGTAGCCATGAATGAACTGCGCTGTGTGGCATAGAGAGGTATCGGCTTTTACACCGTATGAGTTGGATTGTGAAGATTTCCCTGTTCGTGTATAAATGCGCGGCATTACGCAACCACGTTCCAGAGTTAGCCGGCTGCAGTTCCGTTGACCCCGGTAGAGGGCCAAATCAAAGTGGTCGTCATTATGTTAAAAAAACGATAACTTTTTTTGGTTTTTCGATTATGTTGTAGAATATACCGTATATTTCAACATATTAGTTGGCCGTGATTCAATAGTGCACCCTACTATATATTTTTTTCCGCGTCGAATTGAGTCACCTTGGGGTGCTTAACTATAGGAATCCCCATAGGGCGAAAACTGTGTTCTGCCACATTAATGATAAATGGCTGTCGCCTCGAGAGTCAGTCTGTCTACATGGCAAAAAGCAGCCGAATTCTCTCTGCCTCGACATTGAGTTTGTGTTAAAGAGTCTATCTGAAGCAGGCATCGCGGTTTTGGAGACGTCTGTGTACAAAACTCCCGAGCGGGAGTAATTTGTGTTCTCCTCTTCGCAAGCTCCGAAGAGAAGCCCACTTCCTGTCTATGTACACAACACACGATATTAGGTAGTCGCCAGCCCGCACACAGACCGACGGGGCTACGAATGGCGGGCTGCGGGGAGAGAGGGAAGGACGAGAGGGGAAGAAGGGATGAAAGTAATTAAGAGAGGGGTAGGAGGTAATCGTGTACTCCGACAGGAAGTGGAATTTTAGTGATGTAAAGAGCATCATGTATGTAGTGGGAAAGATAACAGAGAAAAAGTCCTAAAACAATTAATCTAACGAGAATCATGTATGTAGTGAAAAGGAAAACAAAGAAGAAGAAATGGATTATTGATTTTAAGAGAATCATGCATGTCGTGAAAAAAACACAGAAGGAATCAATGATTACTTTGAGACCATAATGAGTGAAGTGGGAAAGAATACAGAGAAGAAGAACAACATAATTACTGAAAATATCCCGATGGACGTAGTGGAAAACAAAGAAGAAGAAATTATTGATAAGTTTGAAGATCATTATATAGTGGGAAAGAATACAGAGAAGGAGCAATTGATAAGTTAAACAGTATCGTATAGATTATGTACAGGTAAAAATCTAAAGACAAGAAATAAATAATTAGTTTAAAGGTCATCATGCATGCAGCGGGAAGGAAACAAAGAATTAGCAATTTATAATCAGTTTAAATATCACCTTGTATGTAGTGGGGAGAACGGGGAAGAAGTAATGAATAATCAGTTTAAAGATCTTTATGTATGCATTTGAAAAATTAATAATCAGTTTAAAGCTCGTGTTAGTAGTGAAAAAGAAAACACAGAATAAGCAATCAATAATCAGAGAGAGGAGCATTATGTAAGTAGTGGGGAAAAACAAAGAAGAGGCGAAAAAAGTAAAGGGTTTACACTCGTTACCCGGTTATGTCTCTTATACACATTTAGGACCTTTTAACGACTTAATCAGTAGGTCTGATAATACATAACTAGTTTATGTAATACCGCAGATCTTTATTACCTCAATGAAAAATGGAGGTATTGTTTTTGGTGTGTCTGTGTGTTTGTGTTTCCGCACATTTGTAGTCAGCATAACTTCAGAACGCCTTTATTGATTGTGATGATATTTGGTATGCTGGTACGTCTTAGGGAGGCAAAGGTCATGGTCAAATATGGGCCTCCTGGTATATGACCTTGTTACTGCAGCAGAGCTTCCAGTTTATTTATCTTTTGTCTTGAACATGCTATGGTCTTGACATTTTGCTGACAAATAGATTTTTCTACGAGGAATACGTGGTGTGGGTTTGGTCCCCCTAGCATCTTGTTCTGGAACTGTAGGGGACTTTCTGGCGAAATCTTTAAAAGTCAATAAGTCCAATTAGGTATTTTCATCATATTTAGTGTGTAGGTAGCTGAGAGAGAGTTGTATATAATTAAATGGGGAAATTCTAAAATCACGGTGTTAATATATTTAATTCCGGGTCGGAGTTAAATCTGACCAGAGTCTAAGTAAGTGCGCAGTAAATCGCCGGAAACGTGACTTTGAATGGTATGTTTTGGCCGCGATATCCTTGAAATCGTAATATCTGTGTACACATATTTGTATTTTCTGAAAAGCCTGTTAGTTGTAGCCTTTATAGGTGGCGTAATGTTGGTGGTCCAGCGAAAACTTCCTGGTATCAGTCCGCGCGGATGATTATGTGGCGTTTTCGCCTGACCGCCGGGATGGTACGTTCTATATGCGTTGTGGGTGTGTTCGGGCCATCGAAGAAAGCGATGAACTTATCGCATCGATTTGATTAAATTCAAATTTTGGAAACACTAGGTTCTTCTTCGAGTACTAAGCCGTTATCCTGGGAAAATTCGTTTTTTTCCATGCAGCCATGGTTAAAAATGACGAAAAAATGACCCCTTATTTAAAAATGTACTTTGATGTGCCTTATTTACCCCTAAATAAATTGGGCGCAGAAAATATCAATGAAGTGTATTGATAAGCGGCACGGCACCCCTTTCCACCAAAAGAGTGAAAAATTCCGACCCGCGTTTAGTACAGAAATGACAGCCCGTCGGGCTGAGGGTGTCAAATTGCTCGAAATACGGAAGGAAACTCCGGTCCGAGACCTTAAAGAGCAGGCTTGCACTATATAAGAACCCAATAAATTCGGCTAACGTAAACTACCAGGCCCCATTCTGTCCCTGACTACCGTGGTGGTAACATGGGCACAGGGCTCTTGAAGACACTTTGTGTTTGTAACATATTGAAGACAGATAAGGAATTTATGTACATGTACAGTCTGTTTTACAGAACGAAGATAGCCTCACCTTACCCAGAATATAGTAATTACACCACTGTACTGTTTTGCCAAGGTTTGGTGGTGTTATAGATTGGCCGGCAGTTACTTGAACAGTTCTAACAGAGATCCAGTCTACATGTATACTAGTGCTGCTTTCTCATACTACCAAATTGACACCACAATTGCAACCCATATTTCTAGATTCACTTACTATCCAAGCTATTTCAGTTGTGAGGTTGCCATTTTAGATATCTATAATTAGAGGCTTTGATGAAATGGTGACAAGACAGTTTGAAAAATTGAAATTTGACCACAAAGTTGGTTTTCCAGAAACTGAAAGTTGCAGATAGTATTTTCTTGATTTATGTGACTCAGTTACAGCTATCCCGATCATTCTGCATGGTTTGATATTGTTAGTTTGAAAACCAGTATAGAAAAAACATTTGAATTTGTTCAAAAAGAGTGACAGTTATTATGCTAATCTGTCCCTGCCATTGTTTTCGGTGGCTGGACCGTCTAGGATGTTTATTAGTTTATGTGGTTATGGGGGTCAATTCACTATTCAACCTGCTGGAGAAGCCACAGTGGGGAGTACTTCCTTATTGCGTCGCCCTGGGCACCGAATCCTCCAGTTTAAACTGTGGCAGGCAGAGCATCAACTGATACCAATTATGCAAATGACCTAATTTGCATAATTAATGTGAAAACTCTGTGACTCATTATTGGTGAGTGATGGGAATTTTATACTTTGTGACACGTAAGATACTTAAAGGTTAACACCACTATTGATGTAGAGGTCATTTGCATAATAAAAATATAGATAATGACGACATGTCAAAATAAAGTATGTCAAAGGAGTGGAATTATTGCCATTTGAATTGAGAAAACCGTAAATAAAACTAGATTATGCATATTACGACCTTATTACCATAGTTAATGAGACAAATAAGAAACACTTACAAAAACTCATATATTTCATGGAGGTATGAGATCTCCGAATTTTGTATCAAATTTGCATTTGCCCTTAATCCCAACCCATAGATAGTTCGTTTATATGCGAATCACGTTACGTATGTGGTATATTATAGGAATAATATTGTATATCGTTACGGCACGTTTGTAGACGCTAAAAATATAAAAGGCCACTGCTAATATACAAAACAAGCCTGCCTGTTATATGTAAATAACGCAGCTTAATGGATTAAAGTGAAGCTATTAAATAAGGGATAGATCAACACAAGTAACAGGTTATGAATCTACAGATTATTTTAAGTGGTGGTCTTTGCCACCCGGTGGAATTATACGGCTTTACGGAGTGTTGTGGATCAGGATTTTGGAGCTAAATACGTCACAAGGTCCAGCTGAAACCGGTTCGACAAGTTGTCAGTGTAGTTAGGCTGGAGTGTGCACGATATTTCGGGGCTGACTTAACTTCGTTCACAGTGTGAATTTAGTTAGACTTTTTCAGGTTTTAGGAGATTTTAGTTGAAGTTGTGTAAGGACTGTGCCAAGTAAACAATCCCAGCACCGAACCACAAATCAGGTAACTTTTTTTACTTATGTGCAATTGGTGTCGAAAGTGTGACGGATTCAAGGTCTAATCGATTTAAGGTCAAAAAATGGTGGAGCGTTCTGAAATCAATCCTGTGAAGTTTATAGGTCAGAAGGCTGAAAATTCACTAGTATGGCTAGAACATAGAAGGCTACCATATTACTCTACTCTGCATCTAAAAGGACTGGTGTTTGAATAGGCAGACAAGTCAGACTTATATTTCAAGGTCTGAACTTATTTCATAAGGGAGGTGATCCATAACGACCTATAATATTTCCGTGTCATTTTGTGGGCACACCTAATGTGTTTACCGAAAGAATGCCAAGTTTTGGAATCTAAAATCAGCTTAAAAGTAATTTACCTAGCCAAAACCCACCCTTTCTCAACCCAACCCTTGCCGAACCTGTCCCTGCCCAACATATTTGGCATACCAGTCGTAATGATCCAACATACGTGTACATGTTGCCTGTAAGAGTCTCCAGTAAACTTACTAGAGTCTCATTCCCACTGAGATAAAATTGTCCGGAGTAAGCCGAATTGATTCGCGTTGATCCGGCTTTGATTCGGCTTCGATATGCAACCACAATGCACTTGAAAAATACTACACCTGTTCAACAAATACCATTCAGGAATATATTTCCATCTTGCAGTAAACTAGCATGTCCTCAGAGCCAGAGAAAGACAAGTATGATGACTATTTTAAGACTGCCCGAGAATATCTGGACTATTTCTACTCCGACATGATGACCAAAGGCCATGTGGACGAAGGATTGGCCATGCCGTGGATCTTGCAACAATTCCATCGGACCTTCACTCAAGGTATGAATCTGTGTATGAAAGAAGGGGGCACACCCCAGTTTATTTTGGTTCTCAATTCGATTCTGCATACCCTTGACTCTTCCAGGAAATACCTGTTAAGCCAAAACACTGTGTTTGCAAATGAACGATATCGCTCTAGCATATCGCTCTCACATTTTAGTAAATTTAGGAGGAAAAAAAATTTTTCGATGAAGAGAGAGAGAGAGAGAGAGAGATTGCTGTAATTGGATTTTTGCAGACAGAGACTTCGGCAGAAGACTGTTAGACGTTGGATCAGGTCCGACAGTGTACCAGCTGATTAGCGCCAGCCGAGTTTGTCCAGAAATCATCTGCTCAGACATCCACAAGGTTGGGCGACATACATATGGATAATTATAATAATAATAATAATAATTATAATCATTTATTTGCAAAACTTACTCAATCGTACTTTCAATGTAAAAGACTATAAGTAAAGTACATATTATATAGTACATACAGCTTCTGCCTGACTAACTACAACGCGCTACGTTTACCTGGAGAGTTTGGCTTCTTATTTGTAGGCAGTCGACAATGAACGATGAGTTCATTTTGTGATTTTATTAGAAACTGAATGTTATTTTTCGGTAATCTTTTAAATTTAAATAAAATTTGGCTTTTTTTTGTTACTGGCTAAAATCATATCACACTTCCACACTTATCACACCTATCAATCTTATCACACTTGTCGTGACAAAAAGGCTAATGACTGAAATATATTTTTCGTTTTTAGTGCATTCACGTTTAGCAAGATTTTCGCGATCTGGTTTCAAAGTTTGTAAGTTTGCCCCTTTTTTTCCGTATTCGATGCGCGTTTAATTTTACCGTACATGCGGCGAATCCTTTATTAAACTTAAATATTCTTGTACTTCTTAGACAATTTTGCCATTGTCGACCACTAGACGAACTAGACATAGAGACATATATTTATCTAGTGCTTTAAATGTCTTCCTAAATATATATATAGCTGTTTCTTTTTCATCTAGATTTCAAGATAAAGCAGACATCCAAAGTCTAAACTGTTTACATTTTAAGGGAGCCTTAGAAGAGATAAAGAAATGGAAGAACAGTGACCCAAACGCGTTTGACTGGACCGATGTTGTGAAATACGTCTCAGGATTAGAGGGCATGAGGTACGCAAACTAAAAAAAAATAATAATGTATGCACAGAAATTATCGTGTTTTACTGATGAATATGATTTAATGTTGTAATGTTTCCATTTGTTACTTTAAGGTGTGTGCTTTGTGTTGCAAATAATTTTAAGAAATGACCTGAATTTGCATATCACTGTACGGGCATGCCGCTAGATGGCTCCGTCTTACAAGCCATAAAAGTTGTGTTTGGGGGAATCTTTTTTTTAACACTGCTTCTGGTTCCCAATACCTGAGAGGCCAGAGAAAGCTAGTCTGAGTTTTGGATGCGTATTACGGACTGGATATGGAAGCAATTGAGTGTATGGTTGCTAGTTTGAGACTATTCTATTCTTCTGTGATCGCAATTAATGAAGCAGAACATAGCAAATCTGATTTTGTACCGATCGTTTGCGCCAGCTGTTTTTATATTCGTTGAACCTACTCATGACTCATGAACTACACACAACTAACTGCTAACCATCGTCTAAATTAAGTCGGGAATTTATTACTTTACATACTTAAGTTGTATCAGTGTTTCATTAATTTATAGCCATAATTTCATATGTATTTTTTAAAAATGTGGGAATATCGCCAAGGGCAGCTACGGAATGCCATCAAAGACGCAGTGATTTGTGACGTGTTAAATGAGTACCCTCTACACCCGGCTGTGTTTCAACCGTTTGATACCGTTATTTCTGCATACGGTCTGGAGGGAGCGAGTTGGGACAAAGGAAGGTAAATGTACATTTCATGTTATCCTAAATTAATGTTGAAGAGGTTCACCAGTTACAGCTGTTACAACTTAGTAAAACATTCATTAATCAGTGACTGTTCTGAAAGGTAACAAGTACGGACCTCCAAATGTTTTATGTTGACTGTAAATTTTGATCACGGAATGACCTAGGTCGAGATTTGTGCAGATCGAACGGAGGTTGTGAGCTGTCCAATTCCCACTTACCCCTACTCCTCAAGAAGGTGGGGGAGGCCAGAAGACCTGCACAAGTCTCGACTAAGTCTCGTGTTCTCGCGAGACTAGGTCACTCCGTGATCAGGATGTACAGTCGACAAAACAGTCACTGATTGATACATGTTCTACCAATTATTGTTCTACTAATAATTGTGGTCAAAATAACTTAATTAGGCGATCATATATCGTGATGGTATTTGGAATGTGTGCTTGCCTAAGAAAGGCGAAATGTAATATAGGAATACGAAAAACAACAAAGAATCAAATCTGAATATTTGACTCAATTCTTTACATCTTATTTCGCCTATTTATAGGTCCACCTACGCGAAGACAGTGCAGAACACCTGTAGCCTGTTGAAGCCAGGTGGTTATTTCATCTCAATGTCATACATCGGGGTTACCTACTATATTGAGGGCGGTGAGAAGTGGCCTGATTCTCTCTGTCTGGACACAGAGTTCGTGTTGAAGAGTCTGTCGGAAGCAGGAATCACGGTTTTGGAGAAATCAGTGTACAAAACTCCCGAGCGGGAGGAATGTATTTTTAGTGATGTAAGGGGTATTTTGTATGTAATTGGAAAGAAGCAGTAAAGAAAGAGTAAAGCCACAGCAAGTAGGTTTATGGATGACACCAGCGCGTGCATTAAATTTTGCCTGGTTTTGGAAAAAATAGAGATCTTGTTAACTTCGGACAATGTTTAACATCTAAAATGAGCAAATATGTCTGTTGCACTGCCCGAACGTGTTTACACACACACACACACACACACACACACACACACACACACACACACACACATACACACACAAAGAGACAAACATACACAAACATAACCTTCTTAGCGAAGGTAACTAACTATATAGACAGATGTTGCATTGTTATCAGACCCATTGCATAAGATTCTTTACAAGTTTCGTCATCACAAAATGGGATGACATTTCATCATTACGAAATCAAAGCATTATGTTTACTTTTCTGTGCTTAGGCCACACCAATTTAATTTGTTGGTTCTCGGATTCCCCTCTTCGTTTTTTTCTGATTTGCAAAAAAAAAAAATAAGATTCTGGTCCTGAATCAACTGAAAAATGCTCATGTTTTGCCCCCCAACAGTTGAGGAAAGTCCTTTTCTTCCTAGTTGTTACAGTTTTCCCATCTATCATTGCAGTGGTTTGATTAAAAGTTCAAAATTCAATGTTTAAATTTTATCCCAGCCTTTTGTGTTGACTTCATGGCTCATTTTGTAGCATTTAAGCCTATAATAGGATGCCTAGACCTGTTTTTATTTTTATTTTTTTTCGTCCTGTCGCTTCATATTTTTTCTGAAAAAATCCGAGAACCAACAAATTAAATTGGTGTGGCCTTATATATAGTACCCCCCAAAAAACTTGCGGATGCCCGCATATTTTTGTTTTGTCATGGCCGCAATCAATATTACTTAAATATGAATATCGGACCATTGCATTTCTACTTGTTCTCTATACTTAAGCTAAAAAAAGACGGTGTATTGCTCGAAATGACAAGAATTAGGAGACCTCATGACTCCATGAAACATATATGAGTTTTTGTAAATGTTTTTTTATTTGTCTCGCTGGCTATGGAAATTAGGTCGTAATTAGCATAATCTAGTTTGATTTAAGGTTTTCTGAATGACAATATTTTTAGTGTAAAATTCCTTTCCTTTGTCATGCTTCATAAAACATTGTAATTGTAGAATTTTCTCATTAATTATGTAAATTAAGTCTTCATTTGCATAATTGACATTTAAATATATACAACTTTCTCTCTCAACTACCTACACACCAAAAATGAAAATGCATTGTTCCGATCTGGATTTATTGGCTTTTAAAGATTTCGCCTGATAGGAAAAGCTATCTGTCACCAAAAGGTCTCGGACCGGAGTTTTTTTCACGATTTTAGATCCGGCAGACACCCTCAGACCGAAGGGCTACATCTCATTATATCAGTCAACGGAGGTTTACAGCCGGCTTCCGATAGAATTTTGGTTATTGTCCGTGATTGTCTATGATTCGGGTAGAAACTGTAGTTAAACGAAAATTTTGGATATTTTTAGTTTTTTTTTTTCATTTTTTTCAACGGACCTACCTGGAAAAACGAATTTTCCCAGGCTAACGGCTTATATGCTGAAATAGCTTACTATTTCCTGTTTCTGAAAAACAGAAAAAAATAATGGTTGTTGCGCGCGATAAGTTTTTCGCAAAATCCGGTGACGCGACTGCCTTGAAATTCCACATAGAACGCAGCTATTTGGGTCATCAGGCGACAAACCGCATCACCCTTGCTCGCGGACTAATACCAAAAACGCTTCGCTGGCCGTCCAACTTCACCGCGCCGAAAAAACACTACAATCCCAAGGATATTTGATCAATTCAAAACCTAAAATCTACAACGATCACCAAGCTATGGGGAGCCAAACCTAGCGTGACAACCTTGCAGGTCCGGCGATTTACTGCGCACTATTTGGAACCCTGGTCAGAATTAAACTCCGACCCGGAACCTTCAAGAGATTATTTTGCATAAAAAATTATTACAATTTTTCAGAAACATTATATCTACCACATATTCAAATTTCACCTGTCTGCGATAAGAGGTATGTTTTGGCATGATTAAGTGAAAAAATTCCAGCTTATTATAATAATTTATGCAAAAATAGGATGAGGCCTGCAGGCATGAACATGGGGTTGACCTTTGACCTCATATGATTGTCAAATTGTCAAACCTCTGAAAACCTGATAACTTAATTCCTGAGGTTGAGGTTACTTGGCAAACTACATAATATTAAAGCAATAACGCTTCCTTGACGACTTTTGGAGGACATCCGATTACTTTTGTGTGTAGAAAAGTGCAAATACATGCACGATGGTCAGATTTGGGCCCAAAAGTCCCACTCCGCTACTATGGAGATCGAATCCCCCTAACCCGAGAATCTTGTTCGATATGACGTCATTCGAATAGAGCGGGCGTTCGATCTGGGGTTACCCGCGGTCATTTACAGTAAAGCCGCTACAACCGGCTACTTCAAGCCCTTTTTTACTTGGGAACCACGAAACAGGAAAAATCCACCTTTCCACAAATATGAACCGTTTTCAAAACATTACATCTATGCCGTGATTTTATTGTGGATGTAACATGTAACGAAGCTACTGCCGTCATCGTGGGTGACCTTGAAGGTCAGAATTCTTGTTGACGCTGTTATAAAATCCAGGTCCCCATATCCAAGTGGCACAGCATGCGTGCAAACATGGTAATTTAACCATTCCCAAAAATCGCTCAAATTACCTCTTGACTTTTCCTAGAATATTGTTGGCAACAATTCTCTATCATTGGAATAAGATAATGATTTTTTGTGTTGCCATGGCAACGGGTTTCTGACAGGCATTTTTTTGCTAAATTTAGTACTTTTGTTTCAACAATAGAATTTATGGGTTTTATGTCAAGTTACACATGGTTTCTAATATTAATAACATCCTATATAATTTTATGTAAATTCTATCATTAAATATGCATAATTTATGCATATTTGATGCCGTCATTGGCCAAAATCCAAGATGGCGGACCATATCATTAGAACAGGTATATACAGGTTATTTTCATTAAAATTTCATCAATACTTCCATTTCTTTTTCAAAAAAATGTTTAAATGAAGGTCTTTAGTATGTTTACAATGTATTTTAGGCTTTATCATAAAAAAATAATAATATTTTTGAAAATTCAAGATTGATGATCCAAGATGGCGCATATCTTAAATATGCATGACGACATTTTATGACGTCACCGGTTTCGCTATGGGCAACATAAGACTTAGTACACCATAACATTCTGTCATAAACACTTTTGGTACAGTTATGTTGAATACCATTTAGTTTTCAGGGAAAAACCTATTTAGATGGTTTTGGCCAATAAAATCACATTAATGACGTCATAATGACGTCATATTACGTCATAACGACATAAAAATTGTAGATATGATAATTTTTACTAGTACACCATTCTCTAAAAATTGGTGGTCATACGACATACCGTTCGCGAGTTCTTAGGGGGGGTCAAAAGAGCCCCCCCCCCCCGGTCCCCCCCATGTC